TGCTTAATGTCTATGGAGATTCTCAGTCATCCAGGTCATGGTTGTCCCAAAGGTGCTTTTTTCATGAGGCAACTGGACTTTCTGGTTTTTCTTTGAAGACATTTTGCTTCTCATCCAAGAAGCTCCTTCAACTCTTTTGGCTTGCTTATTTGGGGGGAAATGGCAGATTGATACATCTCTGTGAACAGCTGAGACAATGCTGCAGCAATGTGGCATTAATCAATGGCACCTCTCCAGATAAGGACACGCTGGGAGATTGCCCACCTATGCGGCTAAAGTCTGCTCCTTATGAGAAGACCTGCAAGATCTGAAAAGGTTCTGCAGGCTTATTGTGAGTCTGAAGGTCAAAGGCTGCAGAAGAAACAGCAAGCTCATAGCTGCAGTGGAGCCTACAAAAGCTCTCACTTTCTTAAACTGGTTCTTAAAGGAACAATTTAAAGAATTTTAAATAGAATAGAATGGAATAGAATATAATTCTTTATTGGCCAAGTGTGATTGGACACACAAGGAATTTGTCTCTGGTGAATAAGCTCTCAGTGTACATGCAAGCAACAAGTGATAATCATGGTCATAATCATAAAATACAATCATTGTAAGTCATAAGATACAGCACAGTGATAGTCCTAGGATACTAAATAAAAACAATCAACATAATCATAAGACACAAACAACAAAGTTATAGTCATAAGATACTAAGGAATAGGTAATAGGAAAGATGAGAAGGATAGTAGTAGTACAGCCCTACTACAGCCCTACTACGTGGTTTGACATCCTAGGGCAGTGATGGTTAACCTTTTCGGCATCCAGTGCCAAAACTGGAGTGGGCCCATGTGCACACTGGAGCGCTGGAACCCAAAAGAGAGCAGCTGGCCAGTGCGCATGCATGCGGTGGCCAGCTGCTCTTCTGGATTCCGTCACGCGCATGTGCGCCAATCAGCTGGTCCGGCACACATGGCCAACTGCTCTCTTCCGGGTTCCGGCATACACACCGGACCAGCTGGCTTTCTGAGTTGGTGCAGGAAGAACATTCTTTGTTGTGCTTCTTTATGAAGTTTTTGAAGTTAGGTGTCTATTTCAAGTCTTGAGATATTATAAAACCCAGAAACGTGAAGGTCTCTATGGTTGATATTGTGTTGTCTAGTATTGTAAGAGGTGGTAGAATAGGGGGACTTCTCCTAAAATCTATTATCATCTCTACAATTTTGAGTGTGTTCAATTCAAGATTTTTCCAGCTGCACCACAAGACCAGTTGTTCAATTTCCCATCTATATGCAGGCAAATAATAAATTACTTTATCTATAAATAAATAAATTATCCCATCTATAACTAAAGGCAAAAAGCTTGCCAACGGTTTAAATTAAGCAAATTTAAAATGAACTTGAGATTCTTGAAATTCTTGAAAGTTGAGGCTCTGGAAAGAGTGCAGAGAAGAGCAACAAAGATTATTAGGGGCTGGAGGCTAAAACATATGAGGAATGGTTGCAGGAATTGGGTATATTTAGTCTGGTGAAAAGAAGGACTGGAGTGACATGATAGCAGTCTTTTAATATTTGAGTGTCACAAAGAAGAGGAAGTAAACCAATTTTTAAAGCACCAGAAGGCAGGTCAAGAAGCAATGGATGGAATCTAATTAAGGAGAGAACCAACCTAGAATTAAGGAGAAATTTCCTGACAATGAGAACAATTAACCAGTGGAAAGGCTTGCCTTCAGAAGTTGTGAAGTTGCTTCTTCACTCACAACTTTTAAGAAGAAATTGGACAGCCATTTGTCCAGAATGGTAAAGGCTTCCCCTTGAGCAGGGGACTGGATTAGAAAACCTCCAAAGTCCCTTCCAACTCTGTTATTCTGTTATTTCTTGTATTACAGCAAAACAAACTTAATGAATATTTTCTGTCTACTGCACTACAAATAGTCTGGAATGATAAAAAGGGATAAACTTATCTTTCCAAATGTTGTGTGAAAACCTATTATATCTTTATGCACCAAATTCAATAGACAACTAATGAAATAAATTAAGATAATTAGTTTTGTATTCCTGATTTTTTTTCAGCAAAAGCATTTTTTTTGCAATATTAACATGAATGAATGAATAAAAAGAGAGTTTAACATAGAAACTTACTTTTAGAAAAGATATACTCATTTCCTGACAGTTTTTTCAAGCCATCCTGAAATAATGAAAAGAAGAAAAATATTCCATATACCAAGACAAAAAAGATGAAATTACATTTTAATAAATGTAATTTATTACATATATTATAGTTAAACAGCAAGAAAATTACATTTTTTTAAAAAAAAAATTTTTAATTTGATTTATATGCCACCCTTCTCCGGAGACTCAGGGCGGCTTACAATGTGTTAAGCAATAGCCTTCATACTTTTGTATATTTATACAAAGTCATTTTATTGCCCCCATAATCTGGGTCCTCATTTTACCTACCTTAGAAAGGATGGAAGGCTGAGTCAACCCTGAGCCTGGTGAGATTTGAACTTGCAGTAATTGCAGGCAGCAGATGTAAGTGGATGTTAATTAGTCTGCTGAGCCACCAGAGCTCTTTGCTAATAGATACTATATGAATATGAATGTTAAAAATAATTATAAAATGTCTATATGTCTATATAAAATTTCTGCAAAAAAATCACTGCAACCTGATTCTAATCCAATATCTAATAAATACTGTTTTATTTCCTCAAGGTCTACTAAAGGACGTACCCCGGGTTTTCGAGTAAAAATGAGAAGATAACAACTAATCTCTTCTACCACACTTTCAACATTCCTAAAAGTAAGATGTGGGTTTGTAGAATTTTCATCACAACTTCATCTCAGTTTATGAAAGGCTGTTTTATGATTAATCTAGAAGAGGTCTCTCATGACAGGGGTCTCCAACCTTGGCAACTTTAAGACTTGTGGACTTCAACTCCCAGAAGCAAAGCTGGCTGAGGAATTCTGGGAGTTAAAGTCCACAATTCTTAAAGTTGCCAAGGTTGGAGATCCCTGTCTCATGACATTCTGTTCTCCTTATGGCCAAGAATCTAGAACTGTTTCTCCTGCAATGACTACAACTGCTTGGTTTTATACATTTCTTTTTAGTATGTTTTTAATGGTAGAGATGTACAGCAAAAGGGCTCCTGACCCCAGCCACCAATTTTATAGTGAAACACATTGTGTGATTTATGTCTCTTTACTCACCATCATCAGACCTCCGACAAGATCACTAGTATGAGGGTCATCATCTTTGCTTCCTAACTGTGGAGAATAGAGTTCTGTTGTTCGTAAGATTTCCAACACTCTATCCAAGGCTTCTGCTACAGTCACAGAACTATTCTCTTGAGCTGAATTGATTATATTAATAACCTGTAGGATTACAAATGGAAAAGAAATAACAAGGCCATTGCTGATTTCAATCCGGTATATTTATAAAATCTGTATGCAATATTGAGTTATCAATGTAAAAGAACTATGAACCAAATAAAGGAGTTTATTTATTTATTTATTTTATTTGTCGCATTTCTATGCTGCCCAACTCCCAAGGGACGGCTTACAACAAAGAATAAAACAATGCGAACAATATCCCATTCAAAAGTTTAAAAGAAAACTTTTTTTTTATTTATTAAAATCCATACACTCCAATTCGTGGCCGGGTCTCGCAAGATCACTGTAGCGAGATCAACGGCCCCAAGCCTGCCGGAAGAGCCAGGTCTTCACCGCTTTCTGGAAGGCCAGTAGGGTGGGGGCAGTTGGTAATTCAGGTAGTTGGTTGCAGAGAGCCGGGGCAGTCACAGAGAAGGCCCTCCCCCATGGGCCCGCCAACCGACATTGTTTAGCTGATGGGACCCGGAGGAGACTGACTGTGGGATCTTACCGGTCGCTGGGAGCTATGCAGTAGAAGGTGGTCTCAAAGATAGCCTCGTTCTGACCCATGTAGGGCTTTAAAGGTAATAACCAACACCTTGAATTGTGCCCGGAGACCGATAGGGAGCCAGTGCAGCTTGCGGAGAATTGGTGTAATGTGGGTGCACCCACAATAGCTCGTGCGGCTGCATTCTGGACCAACTGTAGTCTCCGAACGCTTTTCAAGGGTAGCCCCATGTAGAGCGCATTGCAATAATCCAACCGTGAGGTGACAAGGGCATGAGTGACTGTAAGGAGAGCCTCCTGATCCAAGTAGGGTCGCAATTGGTGCACCAGATGAACCTGTGCAAAGGTCCCCCTAGCTACAGCCGTCAGATGTTGTTCCAATCTCAACTGTGAGTCTAGGAAGACACCCAAATTGCGAGCCCGTTCTGAGGGGGGCACTTTCTTGGTTGGTTTTTAAAATGATTAACTAATTCTTCAATCAATTAAATTTTTAAAAATGCATATTTTAAAAATTCACTATACTATAAAGGTAAAGGTAAAGGTTCCCCCCTTTTGACTTTGTGCAAAACAACCATCTTATTTATAGTAAATCCCAACATCTCTGTGTGACATGAATTGATATTTCAATAAGTATAATAAAAATAGATGTGCTCATTTTTATTTATTTTTTGCAAAGGATTGTTGATGCATAAAATGACATCAGAAAGTCTTTTGCCTCATACCTTTGTAATTGGAGCTTCTATTGTCATGGAGTGGATTCTTGCTATAGATGAATATCGATGATTCTGTAAACTTGTTGCTGCATTAAACGGAAAAGGCTTTTTAAAAAGGCTACTTGAAAATTTTTAAAATGCTACTTGTTTTTACATTGTATTATTTGAAATTAGACTGTTCCAAATAATATGTTCTTATGTTGTGTATATAGGTAGTCCCCACCTATTGACTGCTGGTTCAGTGACTGTTCAAAGTTATTATAGTGTTGAAAAAAGAGATTTATGAGCACTCCTTGAAGATGTGGCCTTTGCAGCATCCCTTTGGATATGTGATTGCAATATGGGCACTTGGCAACCGACACATGTTGTCAGTTGTCAGTTACAGAATCCTATGGTCATGTGACCATCATTTGCAACCTTCACTGCCAGTTTCCTGGAAGCAGAGTCAAAGGGGAAGTTAGCAAGAATTCTCAAATCGCAATCATGTGATGACTTGCTCAATGACCAAGGGTGATCCATTTAAGGACCACAGCTGAATGTCATAGATCAGGCGTGATAACATGGCATTTCACTTTGCATCTGTGTTGCTGAGTAAGAGAATTGCTAGTCCTAATTGTGGTTGGTACAAGAGGACTACCTGTATGATTAAAAAGTAAGAAGTTGCCTATTTTTTCCATAGTTTAAATTTAGCCTGCCTCTTCCTGCTATTAAATAGCCAAGATAGTTGGAAAAAGATTATAAAAAAAATATTAAATCAAATGCCAGTCATTTAAATCATCAATTGCAGTTCCTTTTAACATAGGGCTCTGAATAGTATCTCCCGCATATTTCATTTCTTACCATCACTACTTTGAGAAGTTATTGATTTAGCATCAATGGATTCTTTCCTCCTGTTCTTGCATCTGAAGGAGTGAGAGTCTATAAATGTTAAAGGAAAGGATTTAAAAAGGAGTAGGATTTATTTTCACAGCCACATTGTTCCACTAATTGCCTCCCAACTACAGATCAGAAATTTAAAAATTAACCCTTCCTCAATTACCAGTAAATAGGGAAGGATAACAGAAAACAAAGAAACCAAATTCTTTAATTTCCTAGCTTCAAAGCCAATTTTGCTACTGCCTTATTATATACTAAACTTGATTTGATTTAAAGATAATATGTTGTTAAAAAGCCTATCAGAGAATAACTAGGAATATATTAAGCCCATGAGTTTGACACCTCTGATTTATACCCTTAAAGTCAATCTCTTAATTCTATATTCTTCTATTTTCTTGCAATATTATGTCACAAATTATTTTAATGAAATATTCTTCCATTTTATTGCATATATTGAAAATTATATTTTTCAGCCTAGTGAAACATACATGGACTGAAAAGACTGATTAGCTTAAGATTCTCTTCATATATAATAGAAGCAATCTACTAAAGAGTAATAACTCCTAATTTTAGAGTTTAAACTACTTCCAGATTTCAGATAGAACTTCCACTCCAGAATCAACTACCTCTGTATAAGTGCCATAATATATAAAGCATCCTTCAGCCTAACAGTAAGACTGGTTCTGATTCTTCAAATAATAGAAAGACTATTTTCTAACCTGATTGAAACTGATCTCCTGTGCACTTTTCATCATGATGTATTCTGTAAGTCTTGTGTTATGCGAAAAAGGAAACATATAAGAGACATATAAGCACCCATCATAATAGCTAGATAAAGATCTGCCACAAAGCAGTGACTATCCCTTAACTTTCTTAATCAAAAACTGTTGAAGACCACCAAAAACAATTTTTTTAGACAGCTGCAACTTGGAGGTGTTCAGGGAATTGACTTTGTCTTCTATCAGCTTTTTGGTGGGATGTCAAAGAGAAAGTTAAGTTATTGTTGGAGGCCAAGGGTTTCCCATCTCTACTATATAGTCTGCTTGTGCTTATATCATATATCATCTGTTAAAAAGTTGAACCAGCTGTTATCCCTGTATAGCTACCTCCTCATTACATTGAATCTGAATGACTATAACAGTATAATTTGAAATACCATAATTTTCCACTACAAAACAGAGAAATTTGAATCTCATTAGCTGTATATAATAAGACATAGGAGAAGCCGCTAAAATAAATGCAAATCATCTTGCCAAGCAGCAAGATCCATTTTTTGATAATGTGATTTGGCATTTATATTTTAAATAATACATAATTAAAGACTTTGGAAACATCCAGTTATTAATAAGGAGGCAACAAGCAATTGTACAAAGGGAAAATCATACCTGTTTGCTTCTATCATTGCTGCAACACAGTTTTTTGATAGATACAAAATGTCGAATTTTTCTATGAATATAAAAAGAATCTACTATTATCAAATGCAGTATAAAAAAATCTCGATCCAATTAGTTTATTTCAATGCTGTATTTATTACTTATGGCAATTATTGAAGTCATTCTATAAAACACCCATAACTTATAATTGGCATACACTAATATTGGTGTGAGAAAAAAAGGGTTCAAGAACACAAGCCTATCCTGATTCAGCAGAATCCTGTACATGTAGAGCAAGGGTGTTAAACTCGCGACGTCACATTGCCATCACATGATGTATCGCAACCTTTTCCCCCTTCGCTAAAATGGGATTGGGGAGTGGCCAGTGTGTGACGCATCTGGCTCGTGGGCTGCGAGTTTGACACTTCTGATGCAGAGCAACATCATAATGTTAACAAAACTCTGTCTAAGGCTGCAACAGAAACTTCCGCCATCTCACTGAATGAGATAAATGGTATTTAATTTGTATAAAGTTTCTAACATGCCTGAGATAATCAAATCCTTAACTTCTGTCATTTTAATTTAGCAAAAAGTATTGGACATTCCAATGATGGAATTCCTTTACATTGTCAACTTTAATCTTTTGTAAGTTCACAGATGAGCAAGGACTAGAGTTATCATATACAGTTATCATACTTCACCAAAGTAGATCCTTTGAAAAGTAAATTAAGTATTAAGCATTTACTTATTTAAGTATTGTATTCTTGTCATTCTTTCTGATTTTTTTCTGTTTTCTTATATTCTAAATACATCCTATATTTTCAATTTATTTTATAAACTTGAGGATTAAATGTTGCTCTTTCATTATCTCTGAATTCATTAATTGCATAAATTAATGAATTCTAAGATAACGAAAGAGCAACATTTAATTTTTTTCCCTACAGAAAATAGAAGAAAAAACTAACAAGCTGCATCATGGATGGCAACATTTGTCATCTGAGTTCTGCTATGTAGCCTCTCAGTCTTTTGAAATGCCAGAGACCACCTAGCAAGATTTGAAGCAGATGAAATTATTTCAACCCCTTCGGTGCAGAATTTAAGGGTAGATAAAGTGATAGAGCCCCCTACATCTACTCTGATTTCCACCTTAAATGAATATGTGAGTGAGTGAATGAGTGAATGAATGAATGAAAATCTAAAGATAATATTACTCAGATTTAATTATTTTGTCAACTTAAAAGCGCAGAAATGCAACCTATAGGATAGGTGCTACTTATCCCTGGTTGGATTTAAAACAAAGAGAAACCATGTCACCAGAACCTGATTCGAGAGGCAATCTTATCACCTGTAAATATGATAAATAAACAAACTTGATACACATTGCTTACGGTCAATGCATTTTTTCATTAACACACTTACCCTCCTTGGCCTGTCACAGGCGTTATCTTAACATGCTGTTGGATATTATCGCCTGATTTTCTTCGTGCGTAATAAACTCCTTGCCATTCCTAAAGAAGCCAAATGAAGCCATAGTAAAAAAAAGGTAGTCAATCCGCCTTACTAAAAATAATAAAGTCCGTTGCAGTCCTTCTCTATGTGAGATCCACAAAGTTGCTGTCTATTCTTTCCCAGTCAGGTGGCCTTCTGACGCTTTCATGCAGCATGTCATATTCATATGTACCAAACATACAGAGAATCATAGAGTTAAAAGTCCCAAAGGTGCTTTTTCAGGAAGCAACTGGACTTTCTTATTAAAAAAAAAAACACAAGAAAGTCCAGTTGCCTCCTGAAAAAGCACCTTTGGGACAACCATGACCTGGGTCCAGTGGAGGGATTCAGCCGGTTTGGGTTGGTTCGAGTGAACCAGTAGTTAAATTACTGGCTGGCCCTGCCCCTCCCCTCTCCTTCCAGGAGTCTCCATGTGCCCCATTTTGGCTCCCAGGTAAATGCAGGGAGGCCTACTAGGCTCAAAATGGGACACTGGTGGGTGCGGCGTCCCCCCGCCATCCGTTTTTGCTCCCAGGAGGCTTCAGAGAGGCTCCTAGGCCCAAAACAGGGCACGGGGGAGATGCGGCCCGTTTTTGCTCCAAGGACGCTGCAGGGAGACCTACTGGGCCCAAAACGGGGCGCGGGGGGTGCAGCACATCCCCCTTGGCCTGGTTTTGCTCCCAGGGGGGTACAGGAAGTGAAGTGCTACCTGTCACACCCCTGGCCACATCCACCATGGCCATGCCCATCCAGCCGGTCATTAGGTCACTGAGAATCTCCATAGACTTATAAAAGGGGTCATGGACAGCACTGAGCCCAACCTTCTGCTCCAAGTTAAAACATCCATGGCAAATAACTACCCATTCTTTGCCTAATCCTCTCCAGTAAAGGAGAATCCACATCACAGTGATTTTTCATATTCAGATTGTAATAAATAAATTACATTAAAGAATGCAAAACACATTGGGTAATTATCACCCACTTTTCCTCTTTTGATGCATGTGTTGATTGTATCCAACAGGTCTGCATGGTTTCTGTCACTTTTTGGAAGCTCTGTAAGTTCTTTCCCTATTAATTCTCCCTTCTGATAGCCCATCATCTGTTCAAAGGCTGGGTTAACATACTGTAAAAAAAATTAAAATGAAATGAAGTTTATAAGCAAGTACAGAAAACTTAAAATCAAATTTTGATAATTTTCATATTCTGTTTGCATAATCCCAGTGTGGGAAACCTCCAATGCAAATACTTAAATAGAAAGGCTTTGCTTTGTATTCACTCAGTGCAAATGCACCAATAGAAAAGGATTCCAAAATAAAATACAGAAAACTTTGCATGTTACCTCCCTAGACCAATAATATCTAAACAGAATTGATACCTATGTGCATATACTTCAGGCAAAATGGTGATTCTTTCCTTTATTGACATCTAGTTACATTGATAAATAAATTTTCTGAGGACAGTTGTACTTTTTTCCATACCTGAATAATATGATCTTCACTAGTTATTTCTATTGCTTCATGACAGTGCTCTAGTGCAGTGAATACTGAATTACAAGCCCTGTAATTAATCAATAAATAGAAACTATTAGAATCTATGACAGAACAATTCAGGATGCCATAACTGATTAATTCCTATGCAAATTCATGGAAATACGTCACCTTCCTGTAAAAATATACTTTTTAGAATATATTAGTTTACTATTAAACTATGCAACATTAATGTCATTAATATATGAATGATATACTATTAGTATTAATATAAATATTACTAATATATTACTATATATTACTATTAATAGTAATATAAATAGATCCCATTTCTCAAATAAAATTATAACTTTTATTTGGCAGGAGGAAAGAAATCAGAAAGGCATGGACTCAACAGAATTTTTCCAGATGTTTCCTCAGACGTATTA